GACAAGTGCTGGCGAGGATGTGGAGAAAAAGAAACCCTCATGCACTGCTGGTGGGAATGCAGACTGGTGCAGCCACTGTGGAGAACAGTATGGAGTTTCCTCAAAAAATTAAAAATGGAACTCCCATTTGAGCCAGTGATTCCACTTCTAGGAATATATATCCCACGAAACTAGAAACACCAATTAGAAAAGATATATGCACCCCTATGTTCATAGCAGCACAATTCACCATAGCTAAGATTTGGAAACAGCCTAAGTGCCCATCAATAGATGAGTGGATTAAAAAACTGTGGTACATCTACACAATGGAATACTACGCGGCGAAGGAGTTCTTACCATTTGCAACAGCATGGATGGAACTGGAGAGCATTATGCTAAGTGAAATAAGCCAGTCAGAGAAAGATAAATATCACATGATCTCACTCATTTGTGGAATATAATGAACAACATAAACTGATGAACAAAAACAGATCCAGAGACAGAGAAACATCAATCAGACCATAAAACCTCAGAGGGAAGGTAGAGGAGGGTGGGGGTAAGAGGGAGAGAACAACCAAAGGACTTATATGCAAGCATATAGGCCTAACCAATGGACACAGACAACAGGGGGGTGAGGGCAGGAGTGGGGGGGATGAGGGAGTAATGTGGGGATAAGGACACATATGTAATAACTTAATCAATAAAAAAAATATTGGTAAATCAAAACGTTATATGCCAATAAGAAGAAAAACATATGATCTTTGTAGATTCAGGAAAAACATTTAACAGAATTTACTATCCATTCATGATTAAATGTCTTATCTAAGTAGGAATAGAAGGCAATACCCATAACCCAATAAAGGAACTCTATAAAGACCTTGTAACTTTAATTTTTCCTAATGTTGAAATGTTATAAACATTCTCTTTAAAATCACACACTTATAGCCCCAGCCAGTTTTGCCCAGTGGATAGAGCATCAGCCTGCAGACTGAAGGGTTCGGGGTTCAATTCCGGTCAAGGGCACATGCCCAGGTGTCATGCTCCATCCTCAGTAGGAAGGCGTGCAAGAGGCAGCCAATTGATTATTTTCTCTTATCATTTATGTTTCTATCTTTTTCTCCCTCTTCCTTCCTCTCTGAAATCAATAAAAAAAAAATATTTAAAATCTCACACACACACACACACACACACACAAGAAAACCATACAATGATTCCTACTATCACAATTTCTAATCATCATTTTTCTAAAGATCATAGCTGGGGAAATAGGCAAGAAAAAATAAAGTTAAAAGGACACATGCTTAAAATTAAGAATAAATACTGCAATTATTTAGATGACAAAGATAATCTAGTTGGTTGTCTACACAGAAAACCCAAAGAATCTATAGAAAAATTATTAGGATTAATAAAGTTTGAAAGAACTGCTCAGAAAGAAATTGATGTAAATAAATCAATTTTATTTCTTTAAACCAGCAACAAATCAATAATGCAACTTTACTATTTATAATAGCAATCACATAAAACTCATAAAGATGTACAATAACTTTGTAGAAAACCATAAAATTTTATGGAAAGATACTTTTAAATATCTAAATTAATAGAGCAATATACCATATTCTTGGAAAAAATATTAACTCATTAACTTGAAGTTGGATAGAATTCTAATTAAAATTTCACCATGATTTTTGTGTGTGTGTGTAACTTGGCAAGGTGACTGAATACTGGAGATCAGAGTCCTGAGGAGAGCCACAACTCTTCAAAAGCAAAAAAAATAAAAAATAAAGCGGGGAGTTTTGCTTTAACTGCAGCAAAAAGTTATGAAGTTCTACTAATTAAGATTTAATTGTGATATTAGCATATGAATAGGGAATTTGGCTAAGGGACTAAAGAGAGAGCCCACAAACTAATTCATACATTTTGGAAACTTGATTTATGAACAAATTTGGCTTTTCAGATCAGTGATATTTGAGACCAAGAATAGGAGTGAGTTTTTTGTTTGTTTGTTTGTCTGTTTGTTTGTTTGTTTCAATAGCTTTTATCAAAGATGGCAGATACATGGCATGCTCAACTCACACCAGAAATCTTGGACAGATGTTAGATGCTGTTACTCAACCATAGTGTACTTTTTTACTGGCCTAAAATGTCATCTCAAAGTACTTTTCAACCCAGCACCCCAAGAAATAGATTTGGCCCATAATATAAAGCCAAATTGCTCCTCTAGCACAGATTCAACTGTCCAATTTCCTTTATCCTAATTGTGGACTCTCTAAACATTTTAAATACTCATTAAAGTTTGCAGGGACCAGGGGAGGGTGTTATCTTCTACTGATCTTTACATAGAAACAGCCTCCAATATAAATGAATAAACCAACATTCTGAATTATATAGCAATCATTTATGATTCTGATTCTTGAGAGTTGTTCCTGAGAACCAACTCAGCAAAGGAACTGATGAAATTTAGGTTCTACATGTACCAAGCCAGGATCCAGGCCCTGGGTCAGGGTGGGCCTAGCAACTCACTGCCAACCTATGAGAGCCGGCCTTGGTAGCCAGTTCTTCATCTTGTCTCTGTGAGCACAATAAAAATTTACTTCTTATTCATTCATAATTTAGTAAAT